GCTTCTCTCCCTCTGTCTGCCTTTCTTCTCTTTCACTGTCATGTATTGAACTCCATCCTCTGTTTCTTTGTTGTCACCCTTCCACAGTATGCATTCAATTGACTCTTTCATTCTTTGCCTTGTTTCATGTCCTCCCCCTCTTGGTTGGACTGGCACCAGAAGTTGTAAAAAGTAAGAAGAAGAAGAAGAAGAAAAATGTCAACTGATTTTCCAACCACTAAGCCATCTTCCGTCTCTCTCCCTCCCTTTTCCCCCTCCAGTGATTTAAAATAAATGAGTGAGGATAATGGAGCACAGGAGGGTGTAATGGAGAAATAGAAAATCATCATTAAAATTGTGTAGTAGCCTACAGGTTTAAGAAAACATCATATTACTGTCATTCAGCATGAATTTGTGGGAAGCATTAATGCCATAAACTGCAGTTTGTCAACACTCACAGCCTCATAAAAAATACTTTAGCTAAAAATGCTCAACTTGTTCATCCCTAAAAAATGTCAGGCTGCCTGGTTACCACACAGTGCCTTTTCACACTGTGATGAATTGAAACATGAAATCTTTACTTTTTTCTCTTTTTTTTCTGACTGTTTTACTTGGCTGCAAGTGTGTGGAGCCAGGAGGCAATATTCATTTTTTTATTTAAAAAATAATTGAAGAATTGATGGCTGGTAAATGAAAAACCCAATCCAAGTTTTTAGAGGCTTTAATCACTATGTTTTTCAAACACCACCCAGTTTCAGCCTGTTCATTTTAAGAAATTTCCGTTTTTCTTAGTCCTATGTGATAGTTCACTCAATGTCCTCAGGTGGCTTATTGTTTGCTGGACAAAACAAGCAATTTGAAGGCATCCCATAGAGGGTCACAGGGGGCTGGGAACCAATCCCAGCCAACATTAGGCGAGAGGTACACCTGGACAGGGCTGACACCTGGAGACAGGAGGCAACCACTCACACTCACTTTCACACCAACGGGCAATTTAGAGTCACTAATCAGGCTAACCTGCATGTCTTTGGACTGTGGGAGGAAGCAGGAGTATCCCAGAGAAAACCCATGCAGACACAGGGATAACATGCAAACTCCATACATACACAAATCTAATCCAAATAATTGCCCCGACTGACCAAAACAGACAAAAAATAAATAAATAAATAAAATATGATCAGACATTTCCTAATATGAACCAGGAAAAAACTTTGCTATTGATAGACACAATTTTATTTAGTTATAATATTAAACTATAATACTGTCAAGGAAACATGCATATCCCCTACTCACAGCTGTAGTAGTAGTGTTGCCCTGGCAGAAATTCAAACCCCAGCGAGAAGGGTGTGAACCTTAGGATCTTCTCAGAGAAGCGCACTGGTCCAAGCGGATCATAAGGGCTGTTACACTCCCATCTCTTGATAGCCCCCATTGTCTCCACACAGCCCTGGAAAGATTCCTCTCCCACCAGGTAGAGGGCCAGTGTCTCCGGCTGCACAGGACCCAGGGCCTCGTTGTCGGGGTAGTAGGGGCAGTAGATGTCCAGGTAGTCGTTGAGATTCACCTGGATGGATAGATCTCCTGCTGTTAACCTGGAAGGAAGAATGACAACCGCATTAATATTTCATGTGACGATTACACACATGTACACACACACACACAGAGAGAGAGAGAGAAGACAGATGACAGGTGCCCCATAATTCCTTTGTGCCTGGAGGAATGTGGAAAGCTCCAGCAGATGGATAGTTCATCAATAATACACATAATGATTACACAGGGTGATAAAGAAAAGTTGTACAGGTCTTAAAGAATCTTTTGGGATTTCATACATCACAGTGATACAACTTCATTATATTTCCAGACCAGCAGTGGTGCTGAGTGACAGAGAGAACAACATATGCTGATTAAGTCTACTGAGAGGAGTTCAGTGTAAAATAAACTTTGCTACCTCTGCTTTGCACAGCATAGATATATACAGACACATACAAACGTATGTGGATGTGCATGCACAACCAAGTCTTCAGTCAAGGTTGACTGGCTTTAGGCATAACAGCAGCACTGGACAAGACAGCATCATTAGAACAGAAGAGGTGCATAATATATGGTGCCCTAATCCTGTCAGCTATAGTATACAGTAAAGACTTAGTCATGTACAAATGGATACAGAGAAAGAGGATAGAAAGTACACGTAGGACAAAGTGAGAAAAATCAATTGAACAAAGAAATCACAGGATCATAACGGCATGAAAAGACAAAGCACTGGATATGGAATGAGGAGAGAAATATATATGGATTGAGAAACAGAGCGACCTGATGTCATGTCAGAAAGACTGGAGGGGGAGACTGATGAAAAGGACACAGAGACAAGTGGAACAAAAAAAGAGTAAAAAGCCAAAGTAAGAGAAAAGTGGGATGAACAGGTGAAAAAGTGGAGTAAAGAGAAAAGAAAGTAAAGTGTTTTAATTAGCGACCCCAGAGAGTCTGCATGCAGACACAGAGAGAGAGAACAACGGAGTGGAGGAAGAGAGAAGACAGACTTTAATTGGCCTCCTCTTCACAGGAGAAAAGAATGAGGGACAGAATGTGGCTTGGGCAGAGGGTTCAGCTCCATCAGTGGGCGTCTTTATAGAGGGGTGACAGAGCGGAGGAAAGAGGAAGGCAGTGCTGGGACTCAGTGAAGGGGAACATGGGAGGGAAAAAGAGCATGGAATGGAAAGAGGGTGGTGGTGGATAGTGGAGCAGTTAAGGAGGCAGACAAAGAACAAACCAAAACAATAAATGAGAGGAAGAATGAGTGAGAAGCTGCAGTAAAAGGAAGAGGAGACAGAAGCAGTGAAAACTAAAAGATAACATACTGTATACGTACGTAAACATGACAGCAAGCAAAAGACTGAGAAGGTCCAGCAAATCTATAGAGGGTAAAGATGAATGGAGCAACAGAGGAGAAATGACAAGAGACCGCTGAGAGAGGGAGACCATATGGCATGACTATAAAACAGAAATAGAAATCCAAGTTCTCTGTTAATTTTAAACCTGAACGTGGATGCAGTGGTGTGTATTTCTGAGTGAGATGATGGAGCCGAAAAGTGTGTGTGTGTGTGTGTGTCGCTGGGATGCAGGTGAGACTCTGGAGGTAGGTTCCAGCAAGGCTGTTTCCTGCTTAATAGCTAGTACGCAGAATTGGCGATCTATCAATGGGACAGGACACCATCAATCAGGATCCCTCGCTCAGGACACACACTCGCTCCCCTGATCAATATCCCTGCTGTGAATCTGTGTGTGTGTTTGTGTGTGTGTGGGTACATCAGATAGCTCTATTACCTGTGTGCACTAATTACAGCTGAACAAAGGGACTTGATTGCCTGGTTCAGAGAGCACAACAGCACATAAGCCAGTGTTAAGTGCACACATACACAATAACACAAACACAGCAGCCCGTTTACTCTTTGTACTACCTGTGGTGCTTTCTGAGGCTTCTCTGAGGCACAGAAATGTTTACTTAGGTGCACCAGCTGTGGGAGTGCCTGCACAAGTGTGTGCGTGTTGGTGCATGTGCATGTAATAATCGAAGTGTGCTGTGTCCACATGCTACACGTCATTCACCTAAACCTTCTTCTGTGCTGCTCCGGTCCCATTCTCCCCCCCACCCCCTTCTTCTCCTCCATCTTTCCCCACTTTAGGTGGCACACACTCATATCCCATCTATTGCTTCAGTCTGCATCTCCCCCCATGATCTCCCTCCTATTTCCGACTCCTCTCTATCCTACATTACCCCCCCCCAACCTCCCTTCTTCCCGCAAGCCTCCAACTTCGGCCTGCGCCCGCATGCCAGCAATTACAGAGACGGCGCGCTCTACTGATGTCAAACTGTCAGCCCTCTTTCTCTCCACTTCCCTCAATTCCTCCCTTTCCTTCGCTCTAGCCCGGGTAGGCTTGGGTACGCCCTAATTACATTCCACATCCTCCCCTCCTGCCAGCCACCATGCAGCAGACTGGTGACAGCGCAGGAGCATCATGGGAGTACCAAGGAGCTGTGGGTGTCAACGAACTGAGTGTGGAAGAGCCAATCAGTAGGAGAATCTTCTGGAAGCGGAGAAGAGGATTGGTCTGGTCCAGTGCCGGAGCACAGGGGAGAGGGCAAAGACACAGACACTGCACACACACATTCATTTAAGCACCTTTGGACATGAACATGCACATCAAAGTACTGTACTTCAGCAGAATAAAACATGTCTTATCCTTCATGCCAGAGGATGATCGTTGACACCCTTCTGAGAACTGGTACAAGTTCTTGGTTGATAAAGAACAATTTCACAGAGGAGCTGAATCAAAAACAACAAGCTGGGCTTTGCAATAAAAAAACCTGAAAAGGCCAACATTTATCCTTTTTACGATTAGAGGAAATCATATTCAACACTAAATAAAGTGAACATAATTGATATCCTTACTATGTGTTCCCCAGTAAATGTGCAGCGTGTGTGTGTGTGTGTGTGCGATTATAATGAAATTCAAGTGGTTGACTGTAGCAAAGACCTTTGATCCTTTAATATGAGAGAATAATTAAAGGAGCAACAATCTCACAGCGCATCTTCAGAAATACAAGACAGATACTCGATCACGCACAGCACCTGTGCACTATGCATACTGAATACTCTGGGGCACTTATTGAATGTACTGCACATAAAGACGGGGGATAAAGATACAATGACCACACTAACAACATGTTTACACTGCACTACACACCCCAAGTGAATATAGAAAATGCATACCGTGGGTGCACGCTTGTGATACACTAACCAGCCCGCTGTACATGTTTGATGGATGGTGATGGGAGGCTGAAAGTCCTGATGGAGCCTCAGCTCTTCCATGCTCAGTCTCAGCAGGGTGATTGCTAACTTGGGTCACTATGCTGACCGGGCACAGCATGGTGTGGTCATTGTGCCTTGTATGAGCATAGCACGATACGATTGTGGGTGCTGTATAACACTGCTCAATGACCTCTGGAGCCTCCCAGGATGACTATGTGAAGTGGTATTGTTTATTTCAGGTTTTTTGGTGCCAGATGGGTGGGGATAACCACATGATGACAGATGAGTACATGCCAGGTGAGTCAATGAATAAAAATCTGTCAGCTTTGACATATATAAATACTGACTGCTTGGCTAATCTGACTTGTCATATGATGACCCGACTTGTGCAGAGCTCTCGGCAGGAGTTCAGCTTTGGCAGCCTAGGACACAAAAATTTGCAGCCCAACCTGTTTCGGGGAGATGTACTAATGCTTTTTCCTGTGCGGCACTAAATCTGAGCACAAATAACTGAAGAAAATAAAGTGAACACATCTAAACATGAAAAAAAAAGGGGTCTGGGAGAGTGACTAAGGCATTTGTTGGGAAAACGGCAGTGTACTGTGGGGACTAACTGACAACGTATGAGAGTAATTCATGACAAAAGTACTCTGAAGCTAGTACATGAGAAAAGGAGGAGTACAGTAGAGAGAGCTTGTTTTTCTTGGGATATCCATACTTTCAGAGATCTTCTTCGGGGAGAGAAAGAGAAGGAATCATACAAACATAAAGCTACGTCCATGAGTCACAGAGATCGACTCAGTACTCCAACTTTTCTAAGTATTTGCATGGCTCAGACTTTTATGTTCTCAATCTTTCTCTGTGTGGATGGAAAACGAAACAGAATCATGACACACCCCGTACTCCTTTGTTAGCTGTGCCCCCCCCTCCACACCCACACAAATCCATGCTGTGTCAGGAGCCTGAACGCTAGTTTGTGTCTAACCTGGAGCTTACTCCCCTCCATGCATACAAACAAGGATTCCACCCCTATCTCTGACCATCTGGGGCCCCACCACCACCCTGCCTGCCCAAGAAAGATTTCCCCCATCCCACCACCCACCCACACAAATCACACATTCTGAAGACCCCATCTCTTCAGATTCTTGGTGTCATCAAGCTATGGTCAAAGACGGTGAGGAAACGTTCCTCACAGAGCGGAAAGAGGGACTTAAGAGGAACAAGCTGTCGCTCTTTATCTACTCTTTCCTGTCTAGTATGACTATATGTGTGTGTGTGTGTGCTTCCT